GCATAAATAAATCTTTTAATTTTTCTAATTACAAAGAGAAACTGCAAATGTAATTCAAAACCTATGTTGAAATATTTACATGATATACATATCAACATTAAAGGTTTATTTCCTGCATTTATGAGCAGACAATTACAGACTACACTACATTCACAGAGACAATGATGACATCCAACAATGGTATGAAATAAACATGAAGGGAGAGTAACTGTAACACTAGAGAAAAAGTACTGTTAAGCATACTAAAGTACATTCATGAGCTGTATAGACTAATACCTTTAAGCCAAAAGGTATTACAGTCCTTCACCATTTAGACAAATTAAAATGTGAAGAATAGAGAGAATCCCATGCAATTATTTGTAAATTATATTTTAAATAACAAGAGAATTGAAGAGTAATCAGATGATCACTGATTTACCTTATGACAGTGATGTGTAGATAAAGAGTCAAGGAAGAATTTATAACATCTGCATTTTTAAGTGTCCCAAGACTTTCAAAATGAGAAATGCTAAACTCAAAGGAGAGAAATTTCAAAAGCTATATCTTAAACTAGCCACTAAGAAATACCATAAAACAAGGGCCACGTCCACCAAGAAAGGTTACAAACAACTATAGAAAAGGTATGAATACTAATTATGAGTCTAAAATACACATGTAATTGTTCCTGTAGCAGAATGAAAATCAATAGGTCTACACTGAAAAATATGTTCTGTAACTGTCTTGTTAGCACAATTTCATCACAATTATGTTCTCTTGAAACATTAATCTGTTATTCCTAATTCTGATGATATAACACTAAAATGTTTGTCAAAATCATGTATTTCTGATTCAGATATTATACTAAAACACTTATTAAATTAATCATATAACTGATACTTTAAAAGAATCACACAATCTGTTTAATCTACACCATTTTATATATCATTCTCACTCATAACTTTTCTATAATTGTAACAATATTAATTATTACATGTATAGTTTCTAACCTCTTTTTTAGTATCTTGTTAATTCTTTTAGTCAAAAATATGTCATATGTATGCGCAAATATTAAAATATATATCCATTTACTTCCATATACATATTCAGTTATATTACGACACAGATATCTCTTTCTTTAATTACTTGTTACTGCTACATATGCTTAATTCATGTTAGAAAAGTTCAAGAAAATCACCAAAATATTATTTCTATCTATTCCTTTAATATCATTATTGGTCATTAACTAACTAAAAGTCACATGGAAACCCTGATAAACCACGGAAAACAAAGTAGAGACTCTCCTCTGAATATCCATCGTGCAACTAGTTCTGAGAGGCCGTAGCCTATGTGTCATAAATCTAGACAAAGCCTCTGACTGGTAAGTCAGCCTCACAGAGTTACCAAACCCAGGATTAATTGGCTTTGGTCCTGAAGCCTGATTTGTAATTATACAATATGCTCTTCTACTTTACCACTACTATATCCAGATTTTGGCCTGGGTGTTGAATACATGAGTCTGTAGACAAATAATAGTGAGTGCTCTTAGTGGTCTGGTACGTTTCTTCTGATCCTTGGGATGATTGAAAAAATAAACATATAAATATAAGATGTATATGTCTAATAATAATAATGTATAAATTTGCATATAATACTCCCGATTCCCTATGATTTGCCAAGAAGGAAACAAGTAATCTTTGTATCTCAATATATGATATTTTACTTCATTTTAAATATCTTTGAACATTCTGAACTTTACATTTCACAGTAATTGTATCTTAAAATGTTTCCAGGTTTTCATGTCTTCACCTTGGAATTTTTTTTTTTAATCTCTGCTACACCAGCGACTTTCTCTCTCTCTATCTCCAAAATTCAATCCAATTATGAAACACAGGTATAACTATACACACTGTTATCCATTCTTCACTAGAACTCTCATCTCACATCTTCATTACCTCTGTGTATGTCTGTTTCTTGATCATACTTTGCAATTAATATTCCACGCTCCGTGAAGCATTTATATAACATTTATCCTTAAACTTTGTAACTTAGTTCTAAACTTATAAAATGTAATACTTTTACTACATGCACATTCAAGAGCAAAACATCATTGCAAAAAGAATTTCCCAATATATAGTAAGTATATACATGTGTTCTTTTCATCACAAGCCTAATACCATTTAAATCTCAAAAAAAATATATATGGAGTTCATGCTCACAAGCTATCAATTTTTTTACAATAATTCCCTAGCATTCTAATGAAGTGCCAAAGTCTTATCAAACACTTAGTATACCAGGATTTTGCTACATTTAGTAACACTGTTCAACTCCCCCTGGTCTCATTATTTTTAAAAAATTTCTTTTTACAGTTACAGTAAAAAAGGATGCTAGATGTTTACAAAGCTATTAAAGAAGCAAAGAGTAATAGGAGAATCATGCAACAAATTAGTCAATTGCAACTTTTTCATAACTGACAATATTTTCACTGTAACTGGCAAATAATCATGCAAGGGAGGGAATAGCATAAAAAAGGAGGAAAAATTCTGTCGGAACCTTACTAAGCACTCCTGTCAATTCATTTTTTGCTAATCTTACAAAATAAGATAATCATTTGCACAGTCTGTCATTAAATAATATATAATACTAATAAAATATTTCTCCTATTTACCAACATCTAAAGAATCATGTGATATACTTTATAATTTCTACCTTATACGTGACCAGAAATCATATATATGTAAATCTAATGCCATCACAGCTACACCCGGACAAAATGAAATCTGCTAATTTGGGCATACAACTGTCTCAAAAGTACATAGAATATCTGCTAAAATGGTTATATAACTGAATAAAAATGCACTTAACACTCTCATTCTTCTTCTTGAATTAAACCTTTTGTAAACTAATATTTGAATATGTCTTTTGTTTAACCTCAGGTATAAACTGATATACCAGGCATGCTTGAAAATGGAAAAAGTAATAAACAAATTCTGATTTCTCATCATCAGAGGTGAATGCTGAATGCTGTCACATATCATCATAGACCAATAAAAAGAATGTGAATGATCAATACATTAATTAAGGAAATAACATCAAAGGCAGAAAATCAGAATGCTATAATCCTAAAAAAAAAAGAAGAAAGAAATAAAACTGCACTTTCTTCCTTATCATTTTCTTCCACCTGCTAATATGGCAGATTATCACTAGGAAGATTATTCATCCAATGACCTTACAGCAATCTCAACTATGTACTGGGCAAAATCACATTGTCTTGTCAGTGCTTGTAAAACATTATCAGTCCTTTCCTGGAGGATGGTCAAGCATGCACAGATGAAACTCATATTGCCAATGGTAATAACTTGAACCATTCCTTAAATGAATACAATGTATTTCTCAACGATCCTTATCCGAAATCTTCATTTAGGGTCCTATTATTCAGGCATGACCAACTCTCAACTTGGCTAAAATCAAATAGCAAAGAAAAGGCAAATATATATTGTCTACATGATCTAGGATGCATCTCAAAATTACCAAAGTGCATGTCATAAGCACTAAAATATTCCAAAAATAATTCTGTACAGTTCGCAGGCAACAATCTAACTCAGCTTACCTTTGCAAATATGTGCAATGTTCTGTCTATTATCCCTCCAAGTGAAAATTCTGCACAGAGTTCCTGAGAAATTAATTCTTGCTACACCTATTGGTATTGCGAGTCTACCACTCCACATTACTGGTGGCACATCATTACACCTTGATCTTTACACTAGCTCATTACCCATACCTATAAATAAATTTGTAAGTAAGTTTACATGTCAAGCTGCCAAGAACATATTCAGTACAAAAAGTAAATGTTAATCTGCTTTGCCTACACCTTGAATATCTTAGATACGTAGTAGCCTATTACACTCTTTTAAAGTAATAGTAAACATGAATAATAAATAAAAATGCTTTCTGCCACCCAATGGGAATAAATAATGAAATCCAAACATTATTCCCAATCTTCACAGGCACAAACATATAAAAAAGTGACTTTTTCAAGAGTAAGAAATCTAAAACACCCTTAATCAATAATCAACACTTTCCACTGTTTTAGTTCAATACCTTTCACAAGCGTCCAAGCCATCATTTTGGCACCCCAGGATTGTTCAGCTATTCACAACTAAGTCTGCTGTTATAGTGACAGCAAAATGAAGGAATGAATAAGTTATTAATTACACTGAGTATTCACACAGGTGTTTGAAAAGTTTGTGGTTCACAGATAAATATAGGTTATAAATTCAAACATGATAGGCCATTCAAAAAAAATGCCTTTTACATATTAACACTAAACCCACAAAAATAATACCCTTAAGGATAAATGAATTTCAGAAAGAACAGTTAAATAAATTTGGTAAAATTTAACAGGCAAAAATTATACAAAAAAAAATAATAATAATAATAAAAAAAATAAATAAAATAATATAATAATAATAATAATAATAATAATAATAATAATAATAATAATAATAATAATAATAATAATAATAATAATATATTAATCAATTAAGAATAAACAAAAAACTGTGTAAAATAACCATCGGTCCTGAGTAGCTGATAGTCTAGTTAAAGTAGATTACATCAAGAAGCTGCTTTATAGATATTTTCTGAAAATATCATTCTTTACCAGAAAAGAGGAGGTCTTTTACTTTTTTTCTACCTAATCCCTTCACCCACTTCCTTCCTTAAATAGTTACCAAAACTTCCCACACAAAAAAGTATCCCTTCCTCAATTCATGCAAATACAGCTCTTCATTATTGGTTCTTTAATGATAATGAAATCTAATATCACTATTTCCTAATAATGATTAGATTGTTCCCTATGGCACCCAAACCTATGTTCACAATTTTCTGACAAACTTGGTCAGTTCCTTGTGACATGAGCTAAGTCTATTTTTTTCTGGTAATCCTTGTATTTTTTCCAATGCAAAGTTCAATGCTTCCTGATAATTCTTTTGTTGTTTCTGATGCTAATGTAATCTAAGTTAGTATCATCTGATGATTCTTAAGTTCTTTCCTGTATCTATATAATCTAAGTTTACTATTTTCTGATAATTTTTGGGATTGTTCTCTATGTTAATATAAACTAAGTTCACTACCATATAATTCTCAACTTGTTCCCTTACAATGTAATTATGCTCAGTAGTTTCTGATTATTCTTAGAGTCCTACCAATCTCTGACAATAAACAACTTCTTTCATCATGCAAGGAATAAAAGAAATCATATATTCCATCATGAAAAAAATATATATATACGCTTTTGGAAAACTGTGTTCCCATGAAATACAATGGCAAGATTTACAAATTCAGATTCAACATAAAATAAACTCTAATATTGTCTTTGTAAACCTTATCTTGTAATTTATCTACTATCACAATGTACGCAAAGACTGTTTGCCTTTGCTTCCTTTCTCCCTGATATATCCAAAATAAATATTCTATCCACAATTACTATTGCAAAATGCCAAGTTGCCTTCAATACTTTCAGAAAACAACAAGAAAAAAACATCATGCCTCTAAGTTCCTCTGTTACAAAATCTGTCTGAATGAGAAACTTTAAAAATTAGCATTAATTCTAACATATTTATCAACATTGCTGAACCATATTTATAAGAGAAAATTTAATCACAAAGCCGACAGTTCAAGCTTCTGAATATGTTTAAATCTTGCTGCCAAAAACAGGAATTCCACAGTGACATAGCAGTGGAAAATCCACTGTGTATTAAACTGGTCTTTTAGCCACCCAAGGACAGGTAGAGGCAACCATAACAACACCCACATACAATTATGCTTTAAATATAAAAAAAAATAATTAAAAGACTGTATCTTGCTTTTTAAAAGTAATAATGGAGGGGGGTGATAGCTAAAACTGCTAAATTGGTTTGCTAAATTAGATCTTATTTATAAAATACATCTTGGTGTTTAAATGCTGTTATCTTAAAGCATATAAAAAAATATATATATTCGCATGTATGTATGTGGGGGGGTGGGGGGAAAGGCACTAGAAAATCCCCCTGGAAGCCTAGAAAAGTTTGGGAACTTCTGGTCTAGACAAAGTCATCTAATCCCTAATATATGGCTGGTGGATGACCACATGCTATTAACCAAACCATCAAGAAGTTTAGGAAAGTATAGGTGAAAAGTTTAAAAAATAAATCAATCAATAAAAGTCTCTTCTACACAGGAGAGTGAACACAGACAAGTCCTCATTCAGCAAAAATTATTGGAACAGAGGTAAAGATAATGCTGACTTGAAGGCAGAGTTATGTCACGTCTGGAAAACCAACCACAAGAGAAGATTTAGCCCAGCACTCAGAAAAACAGTTGAAATACACAGTGGCTTTTCCATTCACCTCTACATAAAAAAAAAAAAAAAATTTAGGTACAGTTCACACTTTCTGGAAGGGAAAAGAAAAAGAGGGACAAAAAACTTCCTTTATATCCTCAACACAAGACAGGCCACAGACATAAAGACACTCAACAACAACCACAGCGTCAAGAACAGTAGACTTCACTTACAAAAATTACTTGTCATATGTTTGGACTCCCCGCCATTTTGGTGGTGATCATATGAACTTGTCTGAGCTCTCTTGATCATTCTGTTCTCTGCCTGTCATCTACCTGTTATCTAACAGATAATACAATATTGCAATTTTGGAAGGAATGAAACGGGTTAATTTGTATATATATATATAGGGTCCTTATAAGTACTTATATTACAGGTACTTGAAGGGCTGTGAATACAAAAAGAGAATGAAAGAAAAAGTAAAAGGAAAAAAAATATATATAAATACATAATAATAATAAATTAATAAATAAACAAATAAATAAATAAATAAAAACCAAATAAATCAGGCAAAATTACCAATCCAATACCAAAGACCCATTACTCATCCCACACTCATAATCTCCAACCACCTCACCAGCAATAAAATAAGCATGATTTAACTTATTGGATTCAGGTGACAAGACCATCAAGTAATGAAAAAATTGGGCACAGGGCCAGGTGATGGGCATATGCCATCCTGGGAAAATTAGGCCGAGGGTGTAGGCTGACAGGAATATGTAGTCATGAAAAATTCAGCTTAAGACCAGAGTGACAGGAATAACTTGCTCCTGGAGGTAAATTGGACTCAGTGGACATTTAGGAAGGGGCTCTTGCATTATTTCCACTGATAAATGAGGGTGGAATGTACCCTTTGGCTAAAAGAGTACCAGCTTTAGGGAGGACACTATTTCCATGGTCAGTATCCTAATTCTGCTAGCTGTGACCAGCAATGCAGGGTGCTACAGAAAAATGATTTAAAAATGGCAAACGACAGAATGTCACTCATTGTTGTTCTTACTGCACTGGGTTGTTGTACACTAACTAAAGAGATGATATGGAGTCTGTGCAAGGAAAACAGTCTATTACTATCTTGATTAAGTACATCAAATGACAAATATAGACCTTGGAAAATGGGGGGGGGGAATGCTTTTGCAGACAGTGATAATAACATTGCAAAGGGAAGCCAAGGAATCTTAACACCACACACAAATGTTTGCGTGGGCCAGCCTACACACCGCACAGCCGCCCACCTGGGAAAATCACCACTCAAGTAAGCCAAATGCCTGGATTTTGGGCCATGTGATGGAAGTGAGGCACCCAGATCCAATGGGTTAAAATAAAGAGGAGATGAAGGGAGGGGTTGGACTCAGAAAGCAGTTTGGAGGCACTCTTCTAATCCAAAACCAAAACACATTTATCAATTTAAGTACTGTGTATTCCCTCACTACAATGACTACAATATTTTACTATTTTCCTATGATCCTTAACCCAATAACTGCAACATACATGACATGATAGAGCATATAACTGTGATGTACATCAGTTTTTGCATTGAGATGAACTGGAAGAGAAGAGTGGAAAATTCAAACAGCAGTAGTAATGAGAAAAGGATGAATAACTTAAAACAAAGTGATACTGTGCGGAAAGTTACTGCCCCATTGCATTTTTCTCCCCCACTCCTCTCTGTTAAATTATGTATGGAAAGGGTAAGCCACACAACATACCTGCAATTATTGAGATAAGGCAAATAAAGTGCAAAATACTTTTCAACTGATGGTGGTGGTATGCAGAATCTTTAATGTGCCTTTAATGTGCCATGAATTTCTGACTTTCATGTGCATACAAGACAGGACAGACTCAAATAATACATACATTTTCAGCTTGAAACAATCCGGTCTTGATATCTCTAACATTGAGAATTTGGATATTATATTTGCAGGCTGGCTTCAGCCATGTTCCATCCAGTGTGCACCCACACCTATAAACAACAACTGTCTTATTTATTCCCTTTACGGCAACACTAGTCTGTGCTCAGGCAATGGTCCATCTCACTATAGGCTACACGAGACATCATCTAAGCAACTTGGACACTGACTCACAATGTAATGAGGTGTCACCTAGCATCTGTAACTATTTCCCAACACATGATTGCATATCAAGGAATTCAGGGTTAAGTAACATGATGTAAAAAAAAGAAGGGAAAAATTGATATATAACATCTAGTTACAAAAAAATATATAGTCTATGAAATCTTGAATAACTTATTTTAGCTAGATTTTTTTCTGGAAACAAAATAAAACTTTATACTGACTTTCAAAAAAGCAAAGAGATGAAAAAAAGAAATACCTTCTAATTAAACAGCCTTTTTTTAAATATGATAGAGTGATATACAGTAACAAAATAAAGCTGCCATCTCTACTAATAACTACAATCCTCATACAAAGTATAATTGAAACATTTTCACCACTGCAGTAACTAACTTAGAAGTAAAGAAATTATTTTCAAATTACTGACATATCAGCATACTACATTATCTCATTTGCATAAAAAAGGACACACAAAAATATACAGATATATAGGTATCAATATCAACACAGTTACTTTACAGTAATTACTACACTTCCATATTCTCATTCTTAATCTTTCAACATTCTGCTACATATATTCTCAATTTCAGGATATGTGAATAAAGTCTTAGCTTCTACACTCAAGTGCAGCCATAAGCTTCATACCGTACTAAATCTGTTCTGTAAAATAAGCCTTTATGCAAACTGGCCATTGTCTAAATGCAATATCCCACACTTTTATGGGGTGCCATGGTGTAAAGGTATTGACAATGATAGATTTCCTAGTAGTATTTTGGGAAGAAAATTAATCAGAAATGTGGTATTACACTCGAAAAATCCAAAATATGATACTCAGTGTCAAGGAAATATATGCAGTTCAATGTTACCCAAACAATTATTACAATTGTAGTACATGACTCGCAATAGTCAACATTCCACAGTCAAACACATGAATCATATACATACATACATACATTCATACATGCACACACACACACACACACACACACACACACACACACACACACACACACACACACACACACACACACACAACACACACACACACACACACACACACACACACACACACACCTTGATTAAAACTCAAATCAAACTAACTCTATGGCATATGGCAATTAAGATATTTCTATGTCCTGGACTGAGCCTAGATAGATTTTTACTACCGAAGAGATAAATATGACTTCTCTAATGAAGTGACATTTTCTGATAGAGCATAAGGATTACCAGATATGCTCAAAGTTATATAATCATTATATTTCTATTACTATATTGTCAAATTAAAGACGAGAAATTGACTAGATAATAATGATAAAACCATACCTGATTTTGGACCCAAGAAAATGAGACACATCTATCTTACAAAATATCTATCATATAATGTTGAAAACTATTTACAAATACCAATATGTATTATAAAACAGTATTGTTTATCAAACACATAATTAGCAATATTACTGTTCCATTTTTTTTAGAGATATGAAAATAACACTATATTTGGTCAAACAAAAACAGGAAAAAGTTGACTAAAAGTTAAACTTTTGGGGTTTTCTGACAAATATAAAGCAATACC